AATAATAATATTCGTTACGTAAATCATATTCACACACGCACGCACATACGCACGCATACTCGCACACACGCAGCGTTTTTTTTTTCATGACGTGTGTCATGACTTGCGGTCTAAAAAAAATTAGATTCTTTTCACTTTTAAATTGTGCGTCTACACATTTACACCTTCATATATATCCTTGCGAACGTTCTGGTTTACTTTTTTTCCTCATGTTTGTGTGAAACACACGGGGGGGGCAGGGGGTGGAAAGGTGGGGGGCTTAGGTTCACCTTTCGGAAACGTTTTTAAAAAAAAAAAATTACACTTTGACAAAATTGACCGTTATTTAAAATTTTTTTTTTTTTTTATTATAACATTCATCACGTATCGAAAATTTTTTTCGGTTAATTAATTGCGTTAAAAATTCGTCACGTGATTTATTATTATTATTATTATGGAACAATCTCGATTCGAATCGAACGGTTTTTTTATTTCTCTCTCTCTCTCTCTCTCTCTCTCTAGAGGCAATAAACGAAAAAATAACGTTTGGAAAAGAAGCAGATGTGTTGTGCTTAAAAAAAAAAAAAAAAAAAAAAAAAACGTTTTTTTTTTATTTAGGTTCCCTCCCCTTTAAAAACCGGACCTTAGGTAGGTCTGGATCAATTATTATTATTATTATTATTATTGATTTGGAATATTTACGATCCCACCGCACGGAATCGAGTTTTTTTTTGCTTTTTTTGCGAGAAAATAATTAAAGAATTTTAAACTTAAACTCCAGACGTTTTATATATTGCGCAGGTTTTTATAAAATAAGGTTTTACGCACGCCTTTTTTTTTTTTAGGTATCGTATTTATTTTTATTACTTATTCTATGGTATTGTAATGTTATGACGTCATAGTACAAAACGAACCGTTTAATTAACCGAAAGAAAAAAGAATGTTATTAATAATTCGAAATTAATAAAATTCGTAAAACGTGGGTTAAAATTATTAACTGGAACGGGCATCTTCCTGTTGTTGTTGTTGTTAAGTTCAGTCGGTTAAATATGATGATTGAAAGAAGAGAGAAAGAGAGAGAGAGAGAGAGAGGTAGGGCAAGCAGGTGCTTGACTCTGATGCGCGAGAGAGATGATGAACAAATGATATTTAAAAAAAAAAAATTTTTTTTTCTTTCTCTTCTTCGTATTTCTTTTGTTGTTATTCATCATCATCATCATCAACATCGTCGTGTATTTAAATGCGAGTTTAAAAGAGAGAGAGAGAGAGAGAGAGATAGGAGAAAAGTTACTGGAGCTTATACTCTTACGTCGTGTGTAATTTTTTTTTGGCCTTGAACTTCACAGTCACGTGACAAACAATCTGGACAACCGGAGTAAAAAAAAACGAAGTAATTTAACGATCGGTCAATAATATATGTTTTAGTTCTTGGTCGTTCTTAGCCCAATTCAAATGTCGTATCCGTTATAAGAAACAAACAAACAAACAAAAATCGACTTGTTTTCTTTGCAAAACATTAAAACAAACGCACACAACACGATGCTAACGTTTTATGTTTTTGTTTTAATAAACAAACATTACGTTGAACTCGGAAAATATAATTACAATTTTTTTTTAAAAAAACTGACAACCGATTTATCTACGTCACACTGAGTTTTCATCCAGAAAAAAAAAAAATTAATGAATTCGTTTAACAATGGCGCTTAAAAAATTTTTATATAGCTTATAAATTTCGAATACGATGACGATTTAAACCGTGACAGCTCATTGAACTTATGCCATATTTCCCCGCCCCTCACTACCCCCCGTCTCTCTCTCTCTCTCTCTCTCTTTCGTTTGTCCAGACGTTTTTTGAATTTCATGCAAAAAAAAAAAAAAAACTTCCAGCTAAGTAATAAATCATTTTTTTTTTCGTTGACGACGTCACTCATTTCATATTAAAATAAATTCCCGCGTAAAAAAAAAAATCGGAAAAAGAAGAAGAATCGATCGATCGATCGATCGATCGATATTTATAAATCGATTGTTAAAAATTTTATTTTTGCCACGAATTAAAATTTATGCATAAAAAAAAAAAAGAAAAATTTGTGTGTTGTAATTAATGAATGGATGGATGGATGGATGGATGGAATATCGTAGAATGTTACTGCCACGATGATTATTATTATTATTATTAGGATGATGATGATGATAATACAATAGAATTTTTTTTTGGGTGTTTAAAAATGACAATGGACAAGAGGGCATTGAACACGACAAATATTTTTAAAAATTCGACATTTTATTTTTATTTACTCAAATTTGAACAAACGACGGACGCCTACGACAACGAACGCGACGGCCCCCATTTTTGTTGTCAGAGTTCAATTTTACGGTTGATTGTTTAATCGTACCTGAAATCTGTCAATTATAATTATCGCGTTTAAATAAACGTAAAAATAAACGACGCGCCAAATTTTAATTACGCGTGTATCGATCGATGAATCGATCGTTCGATGGATCGATGGGAAATTCATTATCGAACGCTTTATATTTTCGCACGCACGCGTAAATTTGCGTTTTTATTCCGTGTAATGGGGTTGATGGAAAACAATTGACCGGGTTTCCAAGAACAACAACAACAACAACAACAAAAGCAGAAGAAAAATTAAAAAGAAAATTTTTTTAAAGTCACGTATCGATCGACGAAGTAGAAATTTAAACGCGGATTATTATTTCGAATTTTCGTAACGGTTTTTTTTGGAAATTTCTAGAAAATGTTTTATTGGGATGGGAGGGGAGGGGGGAAGGGGGGAAAAGGAAATCCTCGCGATAATAATAATATTTTTTTTACACGGAGACGGTTACGCGATATCGAAATAGAAAAAATATTATTAATAATAATAATAACAATTTTTTTTTCGGGGGTCTTAATTTAAAAGTCGTTACTTTTCAAGGTCAAAACAACAACAATCTTCGACTCTCGATCTCGCTAAAATTGTTGAAAACCTTGAAATGAGAGATTCCATAAGAATACGAGGGGCATTTTGTTGTTTGTAGGAACGAACGAACGTGTACGTAGAAACAAACTAAAAGCGGGATTTTAACGTATCATTAAGTCTTCACCGAAGCGATTTCTTTTGTTTACAATTTATTATCATTATCATTATCATTATTATCATCATTAGTTTTTTTTTTTTTTTTCGTTCGGTAGAACATGAGGAAAAAAAAAAAAAAATTTACCTGACTGGACTGAATGAAATAAAAGAAGAGATGATGATGATGATGATGATGATGAATAGAGAGCCCGAAGGGATTTAATGAAAGTGTATATAGATGATGATGATGATGATGATGATGAAGTGTGTTTGGTCGTAAGAGTAAATGAACTCTTTTTATCTCTCTCTCTCTCTCTCTCTCTCTCTCTCGGTTACTTTTGCGTTAAGGTTTAATTACGAATCAAAATTTTTTTACTTCGTCTTATTTTAAATAATTTTTTTTTTATTTATTATACAATGATTTCAAAAAAAAAAATTATTTATTTATTTATTTATTACGTCGTGGAAGCAGTAGTTAAAAAAAAAAAAAAAACGTGTCGCAAATATTTACCATTTGTTTATGTTAATTGATAATAGTATTGCAGTGGAAAACTTATAATTTCCGCATTAAATTGACATTCATTTTTCAAAGTCGAGTTTTCCTTCATCGATTATAAAAATTACGTTTGGCGTAATGCGTTTATGTGACCACGCACTTACCCACTTACGCACACGCGTGCGTAACTTTCACGATGTTTATTCGTAATGTAAAAGAGAGAGAGAGAGAGAGAAAAGTATTTTTTTCCAAACGTCATCGATAGGTTTTATCCCTTTTTTTATTTTTATTTATTTTTATTATTTACAAACTCTTCTTCGAAGAAATTTTCCTCTGTTTCGCTGTGACGTCATCATAATGACGTCATTATTTAATATTGAAATTTTAAAGTGTTTAAGTTATCGTATCGGTAAAACTTTAATATAAATAAATCTCCCTTTTTTTTTTATTTAAATTGTAACTTTCACTTGCGTTTTAGTCCAATAAAAAGATGAGCACTTATAAAATTAAATTATGGTTGTTGGAGGTTGTTGTTTGTTGTTTGTTTGTTGCTGTAAAAAAAAAACTTGACATGAGAGTTTATTTAATTTTTCATTATTATTTAAAATTTTTTTTTTTTTTTTTGTTTTTTCTGTTATTAATTATAATTTTTTTTTTATATTATTTAAATTTCATTCAAATTGATTTCCAGAGATTTCTATGGAATTTTTTTTTCGATTTTTCCAGTCGAATCGTTTATAATATAAAATAATAATACTTTCATTTTTTAAAATAAAATATTTTTAAACGTTATTTAACTGAGATTTTAATGAGCGGTTTTAATATTAATAACGTTTCTTAAACCACGACGACAAACACGCATTTTTTTTTTTTTTGTAAGTTCGTAACGTATTCCCACAACGACGTGTATTTAGACTGTGCAAACGACTACGTTTTCCCATTTAAACGTTGCGTAACGTATCAAATCTTATATTAAAATTCATTCATCGACCGTTTAAATTATTTTTATTGACTCCTTCCACGTGGTGGTGATAAGATAATAATAATAATGAAAGTGTTGAAGTCATGTTATGGAACGTAAAAACAACAACAACAACAAACACACATGTCGTATGCTTCGTTAATAATTAACATTCGATATTTTTTATTGCTAATAATTATCATTATTATTATATTATAACAAAATAATGGGGGGAAAACAAATTTCATATGAGAAACCTTGGGGGGGGGGGCTTTAATTAAAATTTTTAAACAATTCTGGAATTTGTTTGTTTGAATTATTTTTATCACACGATTTAAGGATTAGATAAAATCCATTTTAAAAATAATAATAATAATAATTTAATTAACCGGAAATCACATTTATTATCATTATTATTATCATTTATTAATTTAATACTAATAATTATTATTATTATTATTTGTTAATAATTTATTAAATGGAATTTTTACATTCTGCTAACTTCGTACTCTTGCTTGGTTTCAATCGAACCGTAACCCGTTCCGGTGTTGCCGTTCGTTTTTAAACAATTTTCTTCTAGAACAATACACGGGTTGACGTGTTCTTCTTTAACGGTCGGTGGCGGGACTGCCACCGACGCCGACGCCGTTGTCGTCGTCGTGATCGCCGTCGTCGTCGTCATTTCGTCTTTTGTGATCGAACACGTTTTACTCTTTCTTTGTGATAGTAAAACTTTAATCATGAGTAACATCTGAAACGATAAAATTGTATCGATTATTATTATTATTATTATTATTATTATTAAGTGCGCGAGTGCGCGCGTGCGCGTGTGAAAAACTTACTAGAATACCGTGTACGGCGATGATGAATAGGCTACCGTATCTAAAACCGAACCAATCGGTTAAAAATCCGGCAACGGAAGGACCGACGAAATCACCCAATGAAAACGAAGATGCCCACAATCCAGACATGAGTCCATAGGTAGCAATATCGTCTGGAAATCCTCCAGCGCTTAAACAAAAAAAAAAAAAAATTATAAAATTCAAAGGAAACAAATGATTGATAACGTGTCATAAGATAAATACGTACACGGAGGATCTTAAAGAATCGATGAAAGCAGATACGACTATGCAAGACATACCGAATCCTTCCAATACCAGGCCAGCAATGACGAGGCCTAAAGTTCTGGAGAAAAAAAAAAAACAAATCAGGAAAGAAATTTTTTGTTTGTTTGTTTGTTTGACGTCATAATCAGATGAGACTCACTTTTCGATCGGTATAAATGGAGCTGGACCAACTAGTAAAACGCTGAATACCATGAATGCCGATCCTGCGAGTATTAATAATTTTGGATTGACTTTTCTATCGCATAACATTCCGACAAATGGAGCGCTCGCTGCGTAAAATGCTCCGTTAATAACGAACATAAGGCCCAAAGTTATCGGACTTAACTCGAACTGTTAATATATATAAAACACATCATCATCATCATCATCATTTTCTGGAATTTTCCAGATGAATTAATAACATTTCTTACTTCTCTTATATGCGGTTCTAACGTCGCCGAATAAAATCCTAATACGCTGGAAGCTGACATGACGCTTAAAGCATCGAGCAATACTGCTGGAACTTTAAATATTTCTTTAAATCCGGCTGAAAAACATAAAAAAAAAAAAAAAAATAAATAATGACGTACAAATCGTCTGATGCCACGACACGAACGTGTTCATTCATTAAAAAAAAAAAAAAAAAGGAAATTCATCGGTCGTTAATTTTTTTTTCCTCTCCGCGGATTTTATTTTTTTATTTTTTTTTTACTAGACAATATCGTGTGTTAAAATTTCAATATGGTTTATATATTACGTCATAACCGTGACGTCATTGAAAATGAGAAAATTTTTTGGCATTAATTCACTAAGTAACGGATAGTATGAAATAAAAATTTCTCGCGTCAAACAATTATCGAAATATTTTTAAAATCGATTATAATCGATATATCGAAATTATATCGAAATGACGTCAAAAGGAAAATTAATTTTTAACCGCTTTGTTATTATTAATATTATTATTATTATTATTAATATTATTAATCTAATTAAAATTATTAATTTCGAAAGGGTTTTTGTTGTTTTCGTTTCCACGTGATAGATTATTATTTTATTATTTTAATTTATTACGTATTAAAATTTCATTATTATTATTATTATTATTATTATTATTATTATTATTATTATTATTATTATTATTAATACTAATTAATACGATAATTTTTTTTGAGATTCTTACTCGCGTGAGATTTTTTTTTTTAAATATATTTTCTTCTTATTAATATTCAGTTCAGGAGAAACTTTTCGAACGCCACGTGAAAAAAAAAAAAAAAATTTATTATTGGTATTGTTATTATTATTATCATCATCACTTTTAATTACACGACACGTTCGTTCCACGTCATTTGTATTGAAATGTTTCAAAACGTAATTTTTTTTGGTAATAAATCTTTAAATATCGAAGAATTTGGGGCCTTTGTGTAATTCCTATTGGGGCCCCCGCTGTCGCGATATTTTCAATTGATTATATTGTACCTTTTAAAACAATGGGTCAATGACCTTTGATTACGATTGGCGAATTCGTCACTCTTCTTATCACACCGTCGGATTTTTAAAAAAAATAATAATCTTCATCATCCAGCGCGTTTGTGTGTGTGATAAATAATTTTCTTTCTATTAATAATTTTCCACGGTTTAACTAATCGTGCATGGTTTTTTACGTCATAAGCGTTTTATTATTATTATTATTACTACGAACGTTACAGGGATTTTTTTTTTTTTTTAAAGAAACATGTGATTTTTAATAATTACGTCATTGTGTTTACCTTTGGGTTTAACGTCGTTTCTCTTATACGATGGTAAAACAAAATAGACAACCAATCCGTCCAATAAGAGTGCGGTACCCATGACCAGAAAAGGAGGAACGTAACCCCCGAAACTGTACAATATTCCTCCGATGGATGGACCAGCTATGTAACCGACACCGTAAAAAATTTCCAAAGCGGCCTTAAAACAAAAATTATAAAAAATTTTCGCGGGAAAAATAAAAATACTTAAATGATAATAATGATAATAATAATATTACGAATGTCGTGGCGACATTTTCCGGAAATGCAGCGGCGGTTATGGCAAATGCCGCAGTTACAGCAGCAGCAGAACCTAAAGCTTCAAATATTCGAAAGAGGAAAGAAAGTGATATAAACCATCCGTGTGTTTCTATGTAACCCAACAAACTGTTTAAAAACAACAACAAAAATTTATTAATAATAATAATAATGATAATGATAATAATGATGTTTGTTTAAAAGAAAAATGGAACGTGTTGTTTGTTTTACCCGAAAGCGATGACGGAGACTCCAGCAAGCATAACAGCAACATTTAGTAAAAGTTTAGCACCGATCGCATCGATCTAAAAAAAAAAATAATAATAATAATATTTTTTATTATAATTTTAATCCAGAGATTATTGATAAGGAACAAAATGAATGATAAGAGAATTTTAATAATGATTAAAAATTTAGCTGCTACCTGGAACGTTTTACCTTCAAAATGGAAAAAAAAAATCGATAATCAATATTTGATTCACATCACTTGTTGTGTTCCCTTTACTCTCTCTCTCTCTCTCTCTCTCTCTCTCTCGGTCGGAGGTCATGAACTTTCATTTTAATAGCCTCAAGTTATTTATTTATTAATGGCGTACGAAAAAATTTTAAATAAATAATGATGCGCAAAATAAAAGAAAAAAAAAACATTTTGGATAAATATTTGGCCAAGGCGTTCTACGTTCTTTCTATATAAAAACGTTTATGGATCTTTTTTTTTTTTTTTTGTTTCGCAGGTGGTATCCATACATCTACTTTCTACCGTTTATAATTTCAATAAGTTAGCTCGTGCCAGCCGACAAGTCAGCCAGAAATCAAGCAAGCAAGCCAGCCAACCTTGGATACCAAACAGAACAGGTTAGAAACAAAAAAAAAATTTATTTATTATTAACGACTACTTTCCCCCCGAGAAAAGATCGAATGGGTAATTTTTTTATTTAAATGAAAGGTATTAAACGTGATAATTTTTATAAGAAATTGTTTTCCCCCCATTAAAATGGCGGGGGGGGGGTGATGAAAGGTATGGTGGTGGTGATAGTGATTGTTAGTGTCAAGGATTATTACGTTAACATAACGACCCGGAATGATTCTATTTAAAAAAAAACAAATTGTTCGGTTTATTAAAAGTTGCGAGATGTGATTAAAACAAAACAATACGTCACTAACATTCTAGCAGACGACGACGAAATTCATTCATTCATTAAAAAAAAAAAATTTATTATAATGGCGTCGTAGGTAAATTTTAAACGGGCTTCGTTTACAAAAAAAAAAAAAAAAAAATTTAACCTTGAAAGGAAACGTGAAAGAGAGAGAGAGAGAGAGAGTGAAAAAAAAATGGAACATTTATACGTTGGGGGGGGTCTCGTACGTTATTATTAATTAAAACGTGACCTTTAACCTTTACAACAAAAATTAATAAATAAATTTTAGGTATATCAGGTACGCGACCGCGGGTCATTTTCACCGAAAAAAATTTATTTTTATTTTTATTTAAAACATTATCGACGCGAAAACATTTTTTTTTTTTCTATCTTTTTTTCTTTCTTAAAATATCGTTTCACTCTCTTATTAAAACAAACAAACAAACAATCGAAAGAACGACAAAACAAACAAACAAACAAATTATTTTATTTAACCAGGTTTTTCGAAGGAATTTTTTTTTTTAAAACGTTTCATATCGGCGCATACGCCATTTTATTAATATTATTATTATTATTATTATTATTATTACTATTATTATTATCATTATTATTATTATTATTATTATTATTATTATTATTATTATTATTATTATTATTACTAGTAAATTTGTTCTTTAATTTGAGAGATTTTCTTATTCTTATTCTTAATGATTACACGAAACGAAAAAGCGTTTAAAAAAAATATTGTAGGGAAACAACGCATCTTACGCGTGCGTACGCATATTTAAACCGAATAATAATAATAATAATAATAATGATAATGATAATAAATTAATATCGTGAGAATGTCTTACGTAATTTCCAACAATCGGACTTGTGATAAATGCAGTCAATTCAAAAACGCCAAACACCAAACCATATTCCGATGGTGTAACATTTTTAGATTCTGCCTTGAAACAAAAAAAAAAAAAAAAAACAAAAAAAAATTATCATCATCATCACAAAACATACGAAGTGATAAAACGGGGGAGGGGGTGAGGGGAAGGAAGAGAAAATAATTTTTTTTTTTTTTAAATTTGGTACCTCTTTCGGATAAAACGGTGCCTGAAGTGAGACGCAAATGGCCGAACCAAAATGTACGGTTCCAATAACGACCAATGTAAACCATTGAGCCTTTGTAAGGCTGGTTTTTTTCTTTTCCTCGGTAGTCATCAAAGGCTATTTGATATATTTTACCTGAAAAAAAAATAAGAAAAATAATTTTTTCCAATTCTCAAAGGTCTCGATTTCAATGTCGTATGTTCCTTCGACTAAAAGCAGAAGAAAAACTTTGAAAATAATAAATTACAGGAAATTAAAAATTAAAAACAAAAAAACAACATTGAAAACGATGGTTTAATTATCATCATCATCATCGAAATCATTATTATTATTATTATTATTATTATTATTATTATTATTATTATTATTATTATTATTATTATTATTATTGATTAAAACATAATCCGATCGTTTAAATCATTTACTCATCGATAATATTGACGTATTCATAATATTATTAATAATGATGATTGCTCTTTTAAAAAAACATGTCGTGAGTTCGTGAAAGTTTTCCCCGATATAAATTTAAATTAATTTTGGCGCGAAAATATTAAAAACAACTCCTGCAAAATAACGGATATGCATTTTGCCGTGTTTAAATGCACTCAATAAAACATAATCCTATTTTTTTTTTTTTTTTTTTCGTGACGTATTAAAAAATGCAACAGCGTTGCATTAATAATAATATTATTTCGAATGTGTCAAAGATGCCAGTTCTATTATTATTAAAAAATAAAAAATAATTTTAAAACAATTAATTACAATAAAAATAAATAAATAATTAAATAAATTTTATTTTTATTTAAATAAATAATGCGCCAAAAAAAAAAAAAAAAATTTTTTTTTAACGGTATTTAAAAAATTTATTTATTTAAATAAAATCATAACAATTAATTTAATTAATAATCACGTCGGGGGGGGGAAAAATCAGAGCAAATAAACAAACGAAAACATTCAACTTGTCTTGGTAATAAAAATAAAAAAAAAAAAAAAACAATTAGAAATTAAAATTTGTCACGTTGTCGTCCTGTTTTTCTATTTTTTTTTAAAATGTAACGTGCCCTTGATTAACTTAAAAATTGCAAAAACAATAACAAAATGCGAAAAGAAATTGATATTATTATTATTATTATTTAAAATTTAAATTTCGTTTTATTTATATTTAAAAAAAAAAAAAAAAAAATCAGTTGGCATCACTGCAAGTCAAAAAAAAAAAAAAAATTTTTTTAATTATAATTTAAAAAAAAAAAAAAAACAAAAAAATTTTTTCTTTACTTAAACTCTCTTGTTTGTTTGTATGCATTTAACGATGACAAATATTTGTCTCGGTTGTTGTTGTTGTTGTTTGTTCATTGATAAATATCAAAAATAATAATAATAATAATAAATAACAATATATGAAATTATTTTATTTAAACAAAATCGATTTGGTCTTTGAGAAAGTGAGAGAGAGAGAGGAAAATTTAGGCCTTATTCGATTTCAAAATGATTTTTAGATAAAGACCTTACCTTTCGTAATTAAAAAAAGGAGGGATTCCCCTTTATTATTATTATTATTTTTCAGGTTGAAAAACTTGATGATAATAATAATAATGCTATTTATTTTAAATCGCGATTGTTAACGTCACCATCATCCTTGCACCACCGACACAATACGAAAAAAAAAATTTTTTTTCTTTTTTTTTTTTTTCCAGGTATCGAAACGACGAACGCGTGATTCGAAAAAAAAAATTATCTTTGTTTCTTCACGTTTGTTCTAAGGGTTTTGTGGTTGTTCATAACAACAACAAACAAACAAACAAACGAACCTTCTTGTTCTTCTTCATTCTCGTCGTATGCATTTCTTAAGGAAACCTTTTAAATGAAGTAAGTGTCTTTTTCTTCAGGTATCGTTTTTTATTTTTTTTTTTAATTTAAGGTACGGACGAAAAAAAGTATTATTATTATTATCACCTATACGAAAAGGTAACGGTTTAATAATAATAATAATGGTTTTTTTTTAATAGTTTCGAAACGATTTAAATTTTTTATTATTTTTTTTGGATGGCGATGGTGGTTTTATTAACCTTTGGCAAAAACTTTATTCGTTTATTATTATTATTATTATTATTATTATTATTATTATTATTATTATTATTATTATTGTTAAACATTATCATTGGTATTATCATTAATTATTATTATTATTACATTCGTTGTTATTTTAAGAGAGAGAGAGAGAGAGGGGGGGGAGAAAAAGTAATTTTTTATTGAGTGTTAATGTCACGTAAATATTTTTCGCTTCAAAAACACAAAAAATTTTTTTTTTTAAATTTATACAAACGGAGGAAATCGATTGTACTACGCGTAAACAAACAAACCGACAAACAAACAAACGAACAACTCTCGTAGAATATTTTTTTTACGCGTACGAAACGATTTTTAACGGAAATTATAAATTAAATTTAAATTAAAAAAAAAAAATAATGATATCTTTATTATGTTCGGCATCGAATTAATTTATTTAAAGGTGATAATTATTATTATTATTATTATGTTGTAACATGACGAAAACAAAACAAACGGCGGACATTTTTTTTTTATGTTGGTAAAAGAACTACCGAAAAGTGACCCCGACATTTACCGGTCACAAAACCGGGTTAAAAAAAAAAAATTCTTATGTTTTCCTGTCGTTGTTGTCGTCGTCGTCGTCGACGTAATCGAAATTTTACCTTGAAAAAATTAAAAATTAACAAAATTTTTTAACGTTTTGCCGACAGTTGTTTGTTGTTAGGAAAAACATAAATCAAAAAACATAAAAAACATAAAAACATAAAAACATAAAAAAACATAAAATGAAAGCGAAACTATCGTCTTTTGCTTTCTTTTCGTTTTTTCCCTCACGTCGGCTCAAAAAAAAAAAAAAATTCGTTTTAATACTAAAAAAAAAAAAAAAAAAATTACCCGGTAATAAAATAAATTAATTAAAAGTTAATAAAATGTAATAATAATAATGGTAATAATAATAATAATAATAATGATAATAATAATAATAATCGAAAATTAAATATAATTAAAAGGATGAATTAAAAAGATTCGAGAGTCTTACCTGCAAGGTCGAAATATATTCATCATCATCCCACAGCAAAATACAATACACAACTGTCGTTTGTTTTTACTATTATTATTATCACAGGTTTACTAGTCGTTCATGTGACTTTAAAAAACTTTTTTTTTTTTTTTTTTTTTTTTTTACGACGACAACGACAGCAACAACAACAACAACAACAAAAAAAAGAAATCTAATTAATTTTTACGTTCCTCCTCTTCTTTTTTCTTTCTTCTTTCTTCTTCTTCTTCTCCTCCTCCTCCTCTTCCTTTTCATTTAATCGTATTATTATTATTATTATTATTAATATTTATCATTCGACACATATATAAATAAATAATCGTCTGCTTTTAATAGTTTATTTAATAAACACTATTTAATCGCGCGGATAATATTCTTGTCCGAGTCCCATTGTCGAATGAAAAAAAAAAAATTTTTTTTTTTTTTTTTTTTTTGTACGATTGGCCAGCTGCTCCTGTTTTCTTTTTGATCTTAAGGTCAACCGTCGTGTGTGTGCGTGTGTGCGTGTATATAAATTATCCCTCGGGAAACGACGTGCCAAAAAAATATATAAATAAAAATCTATCCGACTACTATTTTTTTTTTTTTTCTTTTTTTTTGTCCTTTCCTTGTTTTCTTTTTAATTTTTAATTTATCGATTGATCGATTGATTGATTGATACTTATCGGTTGTTGTTGTTGTTGTTTGTTGTAGTCGTTTGGTTGTTGTACGTTTTAAAATAATTTTTTTTTTTTTTTGAAAATTGTGCTAGGGAGGAAGAGAAAATTTTTTTTTTAAGTAATAAAAGTTTGGCAAAGGCGTAAATGTAAAAGAAAAGAAAATACGGATGAAAAAAGGAAACGAGAATTTCATTTCCGGTTTGTCGATTTTATTGATTTTTTTTTTTTTTTAACTTGAATCGAATGATTTTTTTTTTTTTAAATTTAAATTTTATTATCAAAATCTCGCGAATCGATTTGTCGATTTATCGAGATCGATAGGGTGGATTTTCCAGTTCGGAAAATTCGTACCGGAAATGATAATCGTGACCTTGAGTGTTATCGTTCGTAAAAATTAGAAAACGCGAATTCCTGTAGGAAGAAAATGATAAAATTTTGTCGGGGGGAAAAAAAATATTGATGATAAAAGGGGAGGAGGGAGGGGGAGGGGAAGAATGAAAGTGACGATCAAAAATAAAAAAATTACGAAAGTCGTCGTCGTCGTGGAAGTAGAAAGTAAGGACGAAACGTTTTTCTAAAGGGGAAAATTTTATTAAAGCAAAAGCCAAAATGTCGGTTAGAAAAGAAAAAAAAAAGAAAATCTTGAACAATCACTCAGGATTCGTTTCTCGCGTAAATAAATAATAATAATAATAATAATAATGATGATGATGATGATGATGATGATGATGATGATGATGATGATGATGATGACGATCTTACCGTGAAAAAAAGTTTAAAAAAATTTTTTTTTGATATCGTCACTGAAAAAATGCCATGAAACTGTCAAAATCAAAAATCAAAAAAAAAAAAAAAAAAAAAAAAAAAAAACAAACGACACAAAAAAAGAAAAAAAAATCTTTCATAAATTTTTTACGATTAACCGTGGAACTAGAAAAAAAATTTTTCAACTTTTTTTACTTATTTATTTATTTATTTAAATTTTGTGACAGCGTCAACGAGGAATCAAAAAAAAAAAAAAAAAACTTTTTAATTTGACACAAACGAATTTTAATTTTTTTTTTTCTCTCTCTCTCTCTCTCTCTTCAAATATTTGTTTCATAATAACGGTTAAATATTATTATTATTATTATCAAGGTTAAAAAAATTAATTTTATTTACGAGATTTTAAAATAACGAGTTCGATTCGATCACGATCACAAAGCACAAAACGCAAAAAAAAAAAAAAAAAAAACAAAGAAGAACAAACCGACGACGACAACGACGCACGACGATGACGACGATAACAAATATCGATCGATCGATCGATCGATTGATCGATTTTATTTTTATATAATTCTCACGCGTTACGATAACCAATTAATCGAAATTTAAAAAAAAATTTTTCATCATCATTATCATCATCATTATTATTATTTACATCTGCATCCGGTTTCACTTCATATACTACGCACGTTAATACCGCGTTTGACGGTTACAATAATAATAATAATAATAATAATAATAACAAACGTTACAAAACAAAAAACAAAAAAAACAAAAAAATTTTCTGATCGTTTTTTATCGTGGCACGAGAAAAAAAAAAAAAAAAAAAAAAAAAAAAAACAAATCGAGCGTATGGCATTCGTACAACTACTCATGCGATTTATTATTATTATTATTAGTTTAGTTTTTTTTGTTTTGTTTATTTTTTGTATTAACAATATTCATATGAAAAACGTTCGCCCCAAAATAATAATAATAATAATAATAATAATAATAGAAATGAGAAAGAGAAAAAAAAAATTTTTTTTAAATAATATTATTATTATTATTATTTTTCATAATCGAAGTCAAGGTCTGGGTTAAATCGTCGTCGTCGGCGGCTGCGGCAACGGCGGCGTCGGCGGTTCTTTTTTATATTATTACAAAGGGATATTAATATTATTAATAATAATAATAATAATATAAACGGCGAAAAAGAATCTTTTTTATTTTATTTTATTTTTCAACATTAAACTCGATTATTATTATTATTATTTGATAAAGTGCGGCGAGTGCGTGTGCGTGCGCGTGAATAAACGCGTCTCATGACATTTCATTAAATTATTTAACGTCAAACGCGAACGCGATAATGATAATGATGACACGATAACAACAACGACAACAACAATTAAAAACGTGTTAAATTAAAAAAAAAAGAAAAAAAATAGTTTTTTAAATAATTAAATAATAAATTAAAATATTATTAATAATAATAATAATAATTGTAAATGATTTCGCGCTTTTCGGAATTCGCTTAAAAAAAAAAAAGTGACTATGATAATAATGACGGGGAGGTGAGGGGAGGAGGAGGGGAAAAGGGGGCGGGGAAAACGTACGTGAGCGAATTTACATGCTTTGCACGATTGATGTAATTATTATTATTATTATTATTATTATTATTATATTTTAAATATTAATAATGTATGAATAACCTTGTGAGATTTAAAATTCGTTTTTTTTTTTTTTTTTTTTTACATAAACGCGCGTTCGCGAACGGCAGCGAATAAAATAATAATAATAATAATAATAAACATACGCGACGACGATAAAAACGAACGATAAAATACAATCATCGATTAGTTTTTTTTTTTTTTTAATAGTTTTTAAATTATTATTAAAAAAATTTGCGGGAGATGAGATTGCGTGACGGAGATGACGTCTTAAGGATTATGATAATGACGTCACGCACGTATCACGAGAATTTCCATTTGTTTATGGGGGGATTCAAGCGACGCTCGCTAGAAAACCTCCTCTCGATTCTAAACTTCCGTAACTCGTGCTGTAGGGACCGATGAGAACGGCTCCGGATTCTTTCTTGTGCCACGTTCCGTGTCGGTTCTTGTAACTGTTGCAAGCTATGAGACCACTCATACCAGGTGGCCTCTCTATGAGTACTCCGTTGCTCATTCCCGGTTTCCCACCTGATTTGCCGGACAAATGACTCGTGTTACCATTTTCTTTGATCAATGTTTTTTCCGAATCGTTTGGAATTTGTTTGTAGGGTTGCCTGTGTTTTCGACAGGATATGAATACGGCGACCAAAATACCCTGCGAATCGATCCATCGATCGATATTTAAAATTTCGATATTTTTTTTTTTTTTTTTTGATGTTTTAAATTTATGTTGGTACTCACGACGAATGCGTTCAACGTCACGACGACCATCGTCGCATTTTTAAATCCGATCGTGTCGTATAAAATCCCACCCAGTGATGGACCGATGAATGCTCCGAGTGCAAAAGTCGACGTCCACAAACCGGATATGAGACCGTACGTTTCCAAATTATTTGAAAATCCTTGAGATCTTAAACGAAAAAAAAGAAAAATTTTAAACGTCACCATCGATGATTAAATCTTCGACACAGAAAAACTCCAACTCACATGGAAGTTCTCAGAGCGTCCGTGAAAGAAGCGACCAATTGTGCAGCTATACCAAAACCGTGTCCGACCAAACCGATGACGCTCAATTCGATTGTTCTGGAAAAAAAAAAAAACAAAACACGTGACAACGTATAAACCGATGAGACGTCGACACGTGACTAATAGAAAAAAAAAGGAAACTCACGCTGGTGTCGAGAAAAATGGTGCAGGACCAATTAGAAGAAATCCAAAAATGATGAGAACGCATCCGACGACGGTCACCATTTTCGGATGAACTTTTTTATCACACAACCAACCCCAACAAGGTGCAGTCAAAGCATACGTTCCGCCATTAATAACAAACATCAAACCGAGAATAACCGGTTGAAAATTAAACTGGTCGAGAGGAGAAGAAGAAGAAGCAGAAGACGAAAAAAAAAGGAAAATTTTATTATTTTTTTATGTAGTTTTCGTTGACCGGAAGTTGAGAAAAAAAAAAAATTTAATTACGTGTCTTAAATGAGGTTCTAGAGTGGCTTGTAAAAATCCGATACTGACGGATGTGACGACGATGCTACAAGCGGCTAGCAAAACACCCGGAATTTTAAGGACTTCTAGGAGACTACCTGCGATGATAATAAAAAAATTTTTTCTTATCAAAATGATTGATGACGTCAGAGAGAAAAATAAAAGAGATTTTAACCTCCTCCTTTTGAATTCACATCGGATTCCCCATGATCGGGTAGTATAAATGACGTCATAATTGCTGATAAAAACAAACAAGAGCCTAAAACGGCAAACGGAGTCGTGTAACCGCCGATCTGGAAATGAAAAACAAAACCGAAAAAAAAAATCTTTTTTTAAATTCGAAAGTTGGCAATACTCGACAAAAAAAATTCTTTTCGAAAATGGCTGCGAAATCCCTTTTCGCCCCCACTAAAAAACAAAAAAAAAAAAAATTATCGTCGTTACTTGTTTTCGTCGTCTGCTATTCACAAATTTTTGTTGTTTACATCCAAAATAATAATCATTTTTTTTTCATTCAAATTTTTTTTTGTGGGGGTGGGCGGGGGTGTGTGCGTGCGTGGAGGGGGATAACAATTAACAATGCAAAAAATAATAATTGGCAAATGATATGGGTGATAATAAGTGACGTCATTAAATATTTTAAATGTCGTCGAGTCGTATAAATATAAAACAACAAAAGATTTATGAATTTTTTTTTATAATACGATGTCGTCATAGTTTTTTTTTATGACGTCATCAAACATATGTTTTAAACTTTTTTTTTTCGCGACGTGCGCGCGTTCAAAACGAATTCGAGCCAAAATTTCATTTTCTAAATTTGTCAATTGTAATTTAAATTTATTTTTCATTTTCTCAATAATTAAAAATGGCGTATTGATACCTGATAGAGTGCTCCACCTACGGTCGGACCTACGATCAAACCCAAACCGAAAAACGTTTCTAAAGATGCCTGAAAAATAAAAAAAAAATTATTTGAACGAGGCGCGTTCGCGTTTCCTCTCTACGCGGGAAAAAAACGTTCGTTCGAACTCACGAAAGTCGTGGCAACGTTGTTGGGAAATTCTTTTGCTATGATGGCGAAACTCGCGGTTAGAAAAGCCGCATTTCCCATGGCTTCGACGATTCTTATTAGAAACGAAAGAGTTATGAAAGAATGTCTTCCCTGTATCCGGTCTAAGAGTCCAAACAAAATGGCGCATATTCCAACGGTGAATATTCCACCGTTGAATAATAATTTCGGACCGATTCTATTAAGCTAAAAATAAAAATTATAAATTATTATTATCATCGAGGAGTCGAATTCGATCCGTAGAAAATGAAAACAAAACAATATGGCGGAACTCACGTGTTTTCCATAAATTGGACTTATTATGAATACGACGAGTTCGAAAATACCAAAAACTAAACCGTATTCCGTTGCCGTCGCTCCTTTTTTTTCAGCCTGAAAGAAAAAACAAAAAAAAAAAAAACTTTAAAAAAATTACTCGGCCCATTACGTAACAATATAATAAAGGGGTTATCTTAAAATTCGTTCGAACAGCGTCGCGAAAGTTTCGGTTTTCACGCTACGACATTTTCCATTTACTTCCGGTAATCTAAGGAAACGTTTCCGGGCAGAGAAAAAAGATTTTTGTGTACTTTCGGAAACGTTCGCGAACGTTCTCTTTATTCGTTAACTCTTAGTTTCAATATTGATAATAATAATAATAATAATAATAATAATAATAATAATAATAATAATAACAGCCTTCATTTGCCACCGATGATGATGATGATGAGGTCATCGGTTTACAATTATTAAATTATTTTTATTATTAATTCCTTCGCGAGGTATCAACGCGACATATAATCAACTCACCCCTTTTTCATTATTATTATTATTATTATTATTATTATTATTATTATTATTATTATTATTATTGTTATTATTATTGTTATTATTATTGTTATTATCATAGTCATCGTCGTTGTCACGACCGCGACAAATTTCGTCTCGCGAAAATAAAATAAAAATGAAAACTGGGAAGTTCGATTAGCACGTATTGATGAACGACTTTGATTTTATTTATTACGTAATCAATTATTATTATTATTTTTATTTATAATGGTGACGTCATTTTGGAAACCGGTGTCGTTACGGAATAAACGAAGACGTTTTTTTTTTTTTTTTGGGGGGATAAATACAATCGAGACGAACAATTTTCCACGACTTAATCAACTCGACTCGTTTTCTGATGGAATCGATAACCGGAACCGCGGATTACTGGAAAAAATGATGATAATAATAATGATGATGATGATGATGATGATAGATCGAACCTCTTTTGGATAAAACGGAGCTTGGAGTGATACGCAAATGGCATTACAAAAATCGGAAATGCTGAAAACGATGAGAGTGAGCCACTGCCTTTTACTAAATTTTGGAAGCATTTTTTATCAGGCTAGAATTTGAACTTTGAACTTCGACCTGGAATAGAAAAAAAAGAAATCTTGTGTTAAATCTGGAAAAGATAAGAAAATCAATCAATCTTCCGGAAACGATTAATATTAATAATAATATTAATACTCACCGAAATTAATATTTCGACATTTAAAAAAAACACCAACACAACACAAAAACACCAACAACAACCACAACTACAACCAACACGAAACGATTATTATAACATTAATAATAATAATAATAATAATCCGGCTGGAATTTGATTTGATTTTTTAAAAAGGACGAACGATAATTAAAAAAAAAATCGGAAAACTTTAAAAAAAATTTTTTTTTTTTTTTAAATATTTTTTAACTTTCGTGCCGTTTCCCCTCAGATCGATTAAAACAAACAAACAAACAAACGTACAAACAAAAAATTTCGTTTAAAAATTAAAAAAAAAAAAAAATGTGGAAAAATTTCGGGTGACAAACGACAAACGACACAAAATTCAAACTGTTTCCGACAAGATCGGACAAGACGTGAATTCGATACTCGCGAGAAAGAGAGAGAGAAACATCTAGAAATTTTCTTTTCTAACGGATCAGTGTCGTAGGCATGCGACAAACCGGACAAAAGGAAAATTGGGGGAAAAGCGAAAAATATTTATCGAAACCTGAAAAAAAATCGATTATAAATATCGCTTTTTAAAAAAGTCACACGTGATTTTCACGTGTCACGAACGAAATCTGGATGATGATTTTCTTTTTTTCATAAAATTTTTATTTTCCCTGTTGTTGTTGCGGAAAAAATTCATCGTCACGTGATCGTTTTATTATTTTTTTTTCACGTTGTTTCGAATTTTACAAAAAAATTAATTCAAGGAATTAATTTGAAGCGAGATACGATAAATTTAATCATCACGCGATGGCGCGATTTTTCAAAAAAAAAAAAAAAACGTGGCAATTAATTAATTAAAAATTGTTTTAAATAATTATAAAAACAAAAGAACATTAAAAAAAAATTTATTATTATTATTTAAAAACAAAAATGTCACACACAAAAGGCATTTTATAAAAAAGAAAAAAAGAAACAAAAGAATAAAAAACGTTACGTATTCTAGTTAATTATATAATTAATAATCACAATCAATCAATCAATCAATCAATCAATAATAACTTTGGTACGGCCCTGATTTTCTTAACGACGTTTTTATAAATTTTTATTCACGTTGGTCAATATAATAAAAATTTCGTTTTAATTCTACGTATCGTAATAATAATAATAATAATAATAATACTAAAAATAGGTAAACATAATAAATTTTTTCGACGTGGTTTTAGAAACTAGGATAAAAAGGGCGGGAAATTGCGAGGGTGACGCGATACTTACTAAAACAATATAACAACAACAAGAAATTAAAAAAAAATAAAAAAATAATTAAAAAAGGCAACAAGTCGATCGAGGCAGACGATAACAAAAGAAGTAGGAAGTGACGTCACGTGTTAAATTTTTTTTTTTTAAATCGGTGGTTCGGTCGTGTACCTGTAAAACAACTTGACGGTTTAAAACGGAAACGATAGTCGACACTGGATAAATTCGAATTTAAAGCAAGTCTTTTTTTTTAAAGGGTTGAAATGAATCGATGAATCGATCGATGGGTTGATCGATGGATCGATCGATCGATCGATCATTCGTCGACTAGAAATAGATTTAGCGGTACTTTTAACAAAGCGGTATTTAATATTTGTTTGAGATATTTTTCCAACGCGGACGACACGGTGTATTTCAATTCTTCCAAAACTTCTTTCCAGTTTTGATTAAGAAAATTATTAATGGCTTCGCTGAGGACTTTATTTCCTGGAGAATGATCCCTTATTCTAAATCTCGCTTTACCAACTTTAAAATCGATTGCGGCTCTATCGACTTTCATGTATTTAACACCGTCTTTAACGATTTCTTTCCCTTGCATTTTAGCCAATCCGGATGCGTCCTCTGGAAAAAAAAAAAATGGCCGTCGGAAATTATCGTGGAGTGACATGGGTGTGAGAGAGAGAGAGAAAAACTTACCGAAAACAGCCTGGAAATCTCCTTTGCTTCTTATATTTATTACCAAAACGTTACCCAAAACTTCATATTGTCCAGTTATTATAAGTCTCGGAGCTTTTGCGCTAACATCCAGACGATAATTTTCAATGTTTGCCCTAAAAAAAGGGGGGGATTCAAATTCTGGAATTTTCTATTTTAAAAAAATCCACAACGTTGTATCAATAACAAACCTTATTCCGGTAACGGTGTGATTCGAAGGACCGTAAACGGTCAAATCGGTAAAAACGGCTTTCACGCGAATTCTTCCGTGTCCATTTTCTATTTGTATCCTGGGTATTTTAAGTGGATCAATCGTGGGTATGTTTAAATCCGGAATCCCTTTTATCAAATGATCTCTTAAATGTAATATGCTTCCAGCGACGCATGTATTTATTTCGGGATCCGATTTCAAACACGGTTTTATAAAATCCACTGGAAAAAAAAATTAAAAATAAGGGGATTTTTTTATGGAATGCGGGGGGGGGGATTTTTGTTTCTCACTTCGAATTGCGAAAAAATTTATCTCATTAAACGTTAAAATTATTAATTGAAATTCATTAGCATTGACCCAAATTAACCGTGATAAGATTGCTAATGATAACGAAATGAAATAAGAAAAAATTTCTTTATCTATGAGTTATTATGCGAAATAGTAAATTATTATATTATATATTATATAATATGAAATTAAAATATATATAAGTAAAATTATGAAATCTCGGAGGCTTTGCTAGAATTTTTCATTTTCTAAAAGCCGGTAAAAGAAGAGGAGGAGGAGGACAAAAAACAAAAAATTATGAAAAAGTAAAAGTAAGGACGACGAGAGTCAAGGATATTTAAAATTATTATTATCATTATTATTTTACGGGGTGTAAATTAGTAATAACAAACGAATAAACGTTAATATTAAAACAAACAAACAAACAAACGAATGCAAAACAAACGAATGTAAGAATGGATTCGATTGTTTGTTTTCACCGACATTGACACACAAATGTCTTTAATTTTTTTTTTTTTCTTTTTTTTTCTCCAGCTCCAGTCTCAATTTCACTTCATTTTGTGCAACTTGCCACTCTCTAAAGGTGCGTGCGTGCGTGTGTGCGCGTGCGCGTGACGTGTACAAACGAGACGGGTAGGTAAGTAATGACACTTAAATTACTCAATGAAATATTTCAATTACGTAATAATAATAGAAAAAAAAAAAAAAAAAAAAAAAATTTAGCCGTCGTCGGCTTTATAAAACAAACGTAAATTGAGGATAAATTGAGTATTCGATATATCGATTATAATCGATCGATAATGAAATAATAATAATAATATATTTTTAAAAAAATTTTTTTTAACCGGTAATAAAATTAATTTTATTGTTTTTTTTTTTGACGGTTAAATTTTTTTTTTATTATTATTATTATTATCGTGGTAGAGAAATTTAAAAAAAAAAATGGCTGCCAACATAAAATTTAATAAAAAAAAAAAAATTACTACTTACGTCGATAGGTAATAAAAAAAACAAAAACAAAAAAACTTACCTTGTTGCGGTTGAGTATTACCGATAAGGGAAAAAAAAATTACCGTTAAAAAATAATAATAATAATAATAATATGAAAACCACGTCGTCGTCGTCGAATTCATCGTGGTTTTAAAACAATAATAATAATAATAATTTTTCTTTTCTTCGTCTTCTTAATGCCACGAACAACTAGACTGTCAAACGAAAAAAAAAAAAAAAAAACGAACTTTTTTCTATCTTCGGGTGGGAATAACGTAAAATAATCAAATTTTTTTTATATATTTTCCCTAGTCTTATAATAATATAAAATTTAATGAGAGAGAAAGAGAGAGAAAATAAAAAGTAGAAGGAGTTTGTATAAAAAATTGAGAGAGAGAGAGAGAGAGAAAAAGAGAGGGAAAGGGAAAAAAAACATGAAATATTACGTTTTGTATTATGTTCTTTTAAAACCGCAACGATGATGATTATTATTATTATTATTACGATGATGATCGTTACGTCATTTTTAAACAATAAGTAAGCTATGTCAATACTACTCGGGTAATGATTTACGTCATCTCTCTAAAACCTTAAAAAAAAAAAAAAAAAAAAAAAATTAGACGTGGCAGAAGCCATAAAAAACGTGCTAAAAAAAAAGAAAAAATCATTTTCACTTTTTACAAATAATAAAATCGCGTGTTGAAAAAAAAATAATAATAATAATAATAAAACTCGTAGCGTTGTTTTATTTAAATACCAATAAACAAAACAAAAAGAAAATATCGGTCGGGTCAAGAGGTCAAATAATAATAATAATTCGTTAGTTTTTTTTTGTTGAGGAGGAGAAGGAGAAGCGAATAGGCTGAAAGGGATTTTGCGCGTAGCAGACGACGTTTGTATTTTTTTTAAGGTTTCTTCCTTTTCCCTCCTCCCTTCCTCTCCCCCTTCCCCCATTTTCAAATGGGTGATAACGGTGATAACGCATTTTTAAAATTTTTTTTCTTTTTTACATTTCCTACCTTTTCGAATTACTTTTAACTCGTTTAATTTTTAATAATAATAATAGTAATAAGTAATAATTTTTTATTAACCGGATATACATAAAAAAAATTTTTCCTCATTTCATATTTATATTTCGGCTCGCAATGACTAAGTCGAAATTGAAATAATAATAATAATAATGATAAAAGTTGTAAATTTCGTAATGTTATTACGTCATTAAAATTAAATCCAACCGTGCCTTTTTTTACGTGTCGTGTAAAAGGTAGAAAGGGGAGGAAGGGGGAGAGGGAGGGAGGGAAAAAACGTTTAAAAAATTAATAACGGTGATGATGATAATAATAATAATAATAATTTAGACTTTGGACTTGTGGAAAGTATTTTGCAAACGTAATAAAGATTAATTAAAGAAATGAAAAAAACCGAACGATTTTAAATGATGAATTTTTATTCAATAAATCAAAATGGCGGAATGTGTTAAACCGTTAAGATCCATCGTTTTGTATATTAATTTAAAATTTAAATGTCCGCGGAGTGCGTGCGTGCGTGAGTGCGTGCGTATCTACGCAAAATGGCGTATTTCGCAACGGATCGGATAAAACTGTACGATGGGAGATGATAAATATTTAAACCTAAAAAAGATTCGTTGATGACGTAACGACTCACGCGGAAGAAATTCACGACCTGGAAAAATTAAAATAAAATGGAGAGAGAGAGAGAGAGAGAGAGAGAGAGAGAGAGAGAGAGAGAGAGAGAGAGAGAGAGAGAGAGAGAGAGAGAGAGAGAGAGAAGAGAAGAGAGAAATATCACGATTAGATTGCAATAAATACGATTTGCTAAATATTATTATTATTATTGTTGGGCTACAAAAAAAAAAACCGACTGCGAATTATATCATTATTATTATCATTATTATTAAAAGCTTTTTATTGCGTATGATAAGTCTTATCTAAACTTTTTTTTAAAAAAAATATTAATTTTCTGGAGAATTTTTGTTGTTATTGTTGTTATTGTTATTGTTGTTTGTTGTTGTTGTTGTGGTTGTTGTTGTTGTGGTTGTTGCAGTAGTAGTTGTTGTTGTTGTTGTTGTTGTTGTGAATGAGTTACGTTTCTGGAGAACATAATTTGTCCAATGTTATGATATGATTCCATGGATGTGACGTGCGGAAACATGCGTGTGTGTGTGTGTTGTTTATTACACCGTTCTTCCTGTTTCTCATAATAATAATAATAATAATAATAATAATAATAATAATAATTATGTTAGAGATATGTTGATTGTCAAGTTTCGTATAAAGTGCGAGTGAGTGAGACACCGCTGACATAATCGGGCCTAGGGCGTGCATGCATCATGTGACATTCCTTAAAAAATTTATTATTATTATTATTATTATTATCATTATTATCATTATTTTCACTTTTATGAAAAAAAAAATTTTTTCCTCGTTCATTCATTACAAATTTTTAACCGGTTTTTTGTAGATAATATAATGCTCGTGTCATCTTTCTAAAAATCTTCCTTAAATTCCCGTTTTACTCCCTAATCCCGGAATATTTTTATTCTCTCGAATCTCGCAGGTACGCGGGTACTACAATTAATTCGCGCCTTTTTTTTTTCGGGGTTGTTTCCGGTTTGTGTGTATTTTCCGGTCGTTCAGGAAACGTGATGGTTGTATCATTTTTTAAAAACCATTTTTGTTCTAAACCCACGACAAAAATTTCCCATTGAAAATTTATATAAAAAATTTATCGTGTCTTTAAGGTTTCATCACAAAATTATTATTATTATTTATTATTATTATTATTATTATTATTATTATTATTATTATTTACATTACTTTAAGTAATATTTTTTTCGCAATGTTTATTATTATTATCAAAGAATCAAAAAAAAAAAAAAAAAAAAAAAATTTTTTTTTTTAGGTTAAATAAATAAAAATGGCGGAACGGGGGAGGGAGAGGGTGCTGGGGGGTGACGGGGGGAAACGAAGGAACAAAATAATTATATCGTGCGGCCATTTTGAAAAACGAAATTCAAAAAAAAAAAAAAAACAAAAGCAAAAAAATTTATAAAAAGTATATATTTATATTGTTATAAAAGTAACATAAATTGTAATTATGCATAACAAACAAACAAACGAACAAACAAACAAACAAACAAACAAATAAAAATCATTTGAAAATTCGTAAGAGAATTGCATAAAAAAAATTAAAAAAAATTAGCGCGACGTATAAATAATAATAGTTTAAAAATGTTCTAAATTTTTCTAGAAATATTTATTTATTTATTTATTTAAACAATTGCAAAAAAAAATTGATATCACAGGTTTGAAAAAAAAAAAACGAGAGGGAAACATTATTATTATTATTGTTATTATTATTGTTATTATTATTATTATTATTATTATTATTATTATTATTCTTTCAAAAGCCAAAGATCCGTTGGTAAATGTCGGAAAGCGTTGTTTAATATGCCGATGAAAACTCCGGTAAGAGCCTCCCCGATGTCTTCTTTCAATTCGTCGATAACTTGCAATGCGTTTTTGTTTAAAAATTGATTCACCGTTTGTCCTGTTGGAAAAGACAAAAAAAAAAAAAAAAGACGTTAAAAAATCGAAAAACCGGATATGGTAGAAGGGGGAAAGAAAAGAAAAGGAAGAAACGAACCCAAAACTTTATTTCCGTTAAATAAATTACTAAGATGGAGTCTCATACCGGAAACGCTAAAATCAACTTTCATTTTAGTTATTTGTAATATTTCCCTATTTTGTATTGTTGAATATTCGAAATCTGTCGTAACTATGCATTTCGTATCTCCTGCAAATAAAAAAATTTTTTTAGCAAATTATGGTTGTTGTGATAAGTGGGGGGGGGGGGGGGTTAGCCGTGTCAAAATCCTCCAAGAGTTTAACTGGATAAAATTATCTTCTTAACTTATTTAATTTTGAAATTGAGTGCCGGTACATGGCGGCTACCAGTAATAATGAGTAAAAAGTAATTAGAATGATGACGTCACATAATCAGTTAAAGTGATAAGTATGATAAAAAGTCGTTTTCCCCCTCCCCTCCTCCCTCCCTGGGGAGAATAATAAAAATTTTTCACGTTGAATACGCGGTTTGTAATGAATTGCGTATAGCGCGAACTTTAGCGGATTTTTTAATAAAATTTTTTCACTCGATTTAGTTTTGTATGAAAATAATAGAGGGCGCTTTAAACGTTTTTTTTATTTATTTATTTATTTGCATTCGATTGGATTGGTTTGTTGGTTGTTTTACCATCGCGATTTGAAAAACTCGTTTGTTTGTTTGTTTGTTTGTTTTTATTGAAAATTATTATTATTGGATTATGGTAGTTGTTATCTTACTTAAATGAATAATTGAATCTCCGGTTCCGACGACCGGAAGTAAAAGAATATTTCCTTTTATGTTGTATTGCGATTCGAGTTTCAAATAAGGGACTTCTATGCCGAATTGCCACGTTTTATTTTTCAAATCCATTCTGTAAAAAAAAAAAAAAAAAAAAAAAAAAAAAAAAAAAATTTTCCGTTAAAAATTAATTGAGACACACACACACACACGCGTCTTCTGCTAAAATTTTTTTTTTACGTACACGACAAAAGTTGTCGTGGCATTACTCGGTCCGTAAACAAATAAATCGTGTAAAGCTCCTGTTAATAAAACAGCGCCGTGACCTTTTGACACTCCAACTTCTTTTATGAAAAGCGGTTCGAATTTTTCTACGTTGATTTCCGGAATACCTGAACAAACAGACAAACAAACAAACAAATAAACAAACGGATAAATATTAATTTTTTTAATGGATGAAACTATCGGTACCTGAATTTTTTTTTTAAATTTTCATTCGGGGATCCGATCGTTTCAAGGATATTTAAATATTACCAAACGTATTTCATAGAGTAAATAAACATTTTTAATAATAATAATAATAATAATAATTCGGGGGATTTGTTTTTCGAACATTAACTTACCCCTGGACAAAGCTGGAAACATTGTTTGTAATCCATCTCTTAAACATTCATTCATTTTCGGATCGCTTCTCTTACACGCTTTCAACCATTCCGCTGCAAACAAACAAAAAAAAAATCAATCAATAAATCAATAAATCAATAATCGATAATCGATCGATTTTTTTTCAAATATATTTTGCCAAAAAACGAGTTTTTCTTTTTTTAACTTAACTTACGCACACTAATTACCTTGTTTGTTACCAAAAAAAAAGGTAAAACTTTCTAGTTTTAATAAAATATTACATAATTTTTTTTTTTTTCTTCTAACCTATTGATTGACTTGTTAGAACAACAACAGGTTTTCAGGTACACGTTAAAAACTTATATTTTTCTAAGCCTGAAATTAATTACGTATTCGTTTATTTTTTTTTTTTTTTGTTAAATTTACCTTTTTTTTTATATCACGGACGTTATCGCGCGCTCCTGATTATACACGCGGGGGGAGGGGAGAGGGAGAGGTCAGGAAAAAAAAGGCACGAGTCGGTACTAATATTTCCATTTTATTCCCTCCTGCTGCTCCTCCAACGTCATCATTTAGAGATAATTTTCATTTAGAAAATTTTATTAAAAATCAATAATAAAAAGTTAATTACGTTTGCAAACTTTCTTTTTTTTTTTTTTTTTTTCTAAGGTTTTAATTTATCTGCTGCCCCGTTTATTTTAATTCCGCAAAAATTTATTTATTTTTTCTTTTCTTTTTACACGTAAACCAAAAACCGTTCCGGTAATTAAAGCGTAATGTAATAATAATAATAATAATAACGTAATTTACTTTCACTACGTTTAAAATTTTTTTTTTTTTTTACGATAATTGTTCGCGTGTCGATTGTTAATATTTATTATTATTATTATCGAATCGTTGTTGCCAATTATCGAAAAAAAATAAAAAATAAATAGGAGGAAAGGTACGATTGTTTCAAGGTTGTTTAAAACGAACGCCGTTCAAAAAAATTATAATTATTACTTATTTTTATTGTCGTAGGCGTTAGTTTTTTCAAAACGTTTACGTTCGCGTATCCTCATTCGTTCGAACGGTAGTGACAATAATAATAATACTAATAATAATACTAATAATAATAATAATAATAAGATGGGTGACCGTCTGAGAACGCCACGTGCTGTTGGCTTAAAAGAGCAAAAAAAAAAAAAAATGAGAACAAGACAAAGTAAGAACCAAAAACAAAATCTTGTTCTACTGTCGACCTGAGGCAGCTCGACGAGAATGTGAATTTCACTGCTTCTGACCCTGGCCACTCCAAAGATGTTAGTCACCGGAGCCCAGTTCAGGAGACAAATCGTTCCCATCGAAAAAGACGGACTCAGGAAGACCTTCAAGAATTGATGTGGTGCTATCTTATAATAAGTGGCACCACCGAAATTCGAGTATTTGTCCCTAAGGAATCGGGTAGAAACCTCGGATAAATACTTAAAAACTCCGACAAGTAGCCTTGTCGTGTTTAATGGTGGATAATAATAATAATAATAATAATAATATATGGGAATGAACTAAACGAAACTCGGATATCATCCTGAAATATTATTTTGGAAGATACCAAAAGACAGACACAGAAGCGGACAAAAGGCTGAAATAGCCAGTGGGGGGATGTGGGGAGTAAAGACAGAAACTGTGTCCGGTCATCGTGGGAGCAGCACTGGGAGCAATGCCGGAGAGACTGGAAGAAGGGAATTCGATAAGAATAAACAGGAATTTAAAAAAAAAAAAAAAACGCCCGACGAAAAGTTACGTTGTGTGAACGGCTCACACGTTCTTCGATGGTACCACCCATGAATCGGGAAAAACCTGGAAAAAATCCTGGAAAATTCCACAACAAACCCTTAAAAGCATACCGCGATTAAAAATAAAAATAAAAATTGTTTCGTTGTTTTTGCTAAAGGAAAAAAAGGATGATTAAAAAAAAAAAAACTGGAAAATTTTATAGTCGAAATAATAATAATAATAATAATTATTATAACGGAAAAACTAAAAAAAAAAAATTATTACGGAAAGAATGCAAAAGAAAATTCTAGACAAAAAAAAATTGATTGATTGATTGATCGATCGTCATTCATCGTAGAAAAATTCACAAGGAATTAATTAATTACCATCATCATTCACGAAGCATTAAATTGACGAAGAAAAAAAACTTAATAATAATAATAATAATAATAATAATAATAATAAGTAATAATACGTCACGAAAAAAAAATTGATTGCGAAATGTGATAATTGACTGATAAGACGTGTAAAATTGGAGTGATAAGAGTTTGTTATGGTACCAGCACACGACACGTTCCGGTTATTAACCTTTTTTGAAAAATTTGTCCAAAATAAGAAAAACAAAGGAAAAAATTACAACAAAGAAAAAATGTAAGAAAATTGTTTTTGTAATCGATTCGTCTAATTCCACGTTCAAAAAAAAAAAAAAAAAACAAAATAATAATGATAATAATACTTACGCCTTTCTTTTAACAAATTGATTTCATTTTCACATTTACATTTAATTATTAAAATTGATAAGAAAAAAAAAATATAAAAAAAAAATAAAAACGACGACGTTAATTTATTATTATTATTATTATTCATTGTTTGTAAACAAAACATTTTTATTATCATCACCGAAAGACTTCGTCGTGTCGAATGATACAAATCCGGTGAAAGAAGAATAAGAAGAAGAAGAAAATTTTTTTTTAAAAAAGAAAGAAAAAACAAAAAAAAATGTTATCAAATCAGTTATGTCAGTTTGTTCATAAGCTAAGTAGTAAAACAAATTCAAAGCATGATCGGGTCCTGGAGAAAGTAAAAAAAAAAAAAAGAAAAAAAAAAAAAAAGAAATAATAATAATAATAATACGAGATTACATATAGTCTCGATTCCGCGTTTTTTTTTTTTTTTTTACAACAAAAAAAACTTGTCGATGATTGTTTGTTTGTTTGTTTTGTTTGTTTTGTTTGTTGCTGTTTGTCGTCGTAATTATCCTCCGTAAGAAATTTTTGATTGGGGAAAAAAAAACCGCAGATTAGAAAGAAAACAAAAATTTTTTTCTCTAACGGATTCATTTTCTTTCGTTACGTTGATTTTTCTGTTACTCACCGGAAGTGAATGATTTTTTTTTCGAAATCGAACCACTCCTTCCGGTTGTACTTTCCCACCCGATTTCCTTAAGGTTTTTTTTTTCTTGGATTTTATATTGATTTCCAAAAAAAAAAGAGAAAGCCGTCCGAGTACTAAAAAAAAAAAAAATTTATTAATAACTAATAACTCGTTCGATTAGTAACAATTATTATTATTATTATTACCATTATTATTAGTATTATTATTATTGTTATTGTTATTAATAAAAACGTTATTAAACGGAGATTTTATTTATTTTTTGACGCCATCTTTTTTTTTTTTTTTTTTTTTTTTTGTTACTTGCCGTCGTTTGTTTCAATATTCATTTCGTTACGTAATATTTAAAAAAAATATTATAATTGATCGACGGACAGACGGAAAAAAAATTATTGTTGTTGTTGTAACGAACAAACAAACAAACAACCAAAATTAAACAAACAAACAAAAAAAATTAAAATAAGAAAAAATTTATTATTATTTTTTTTCGGTTTCTCGTAGATTTAAAATTCAAGGACGGTTGTTGTCGTTCTGTTTGTTTTGTTTTCGCGTTCCAGCAAATGTCTTAATAATAATAATAATGATAATAATAATAATAATAATGATGATGATGATGATGATGATGATGATGACGATGATGATGATGATAATTGATTCGAAGGTTTTTTTTTTTTTTTACGATTCCCAAAAAAAATTTCGTTTAAAAAAAAAGAAAAGAAAAATTTTTTTTTGACATTTTTTCACTTTTTCGGGAGGGGAGGGGAGAGGGTGGAGGGAGAAAGTAGGGGAAAGGGAAAGTTATTGGTTTACGATCGATAAAATAATTAGCGTGATTGTGGCAGCCATTTTGTTTTTTTTTTTTGGTTATTTTTTTGTTAATTAGAATTCAATAATGAGACAATTTTCGATTTTGTGAAATTTCTTATTAAAAATATTTTGCGGTTCAACAAACAACAAATCGAAAAACCAAAACCGTAAATGGATAAACGTGAAATACACGTGTAAATAGATAAATAATATTTATTACACGTGGCATTAGTGAAAATTAATATTAAAAAAAATTTTAAATTTCGCGCGTTTTTACAGTACGATCGAAAAACAAAAACAAAAATCACAAGTTAAAAATTATATATATACGAACGTATCTTTGTTTGTTTGTTTGTTTGTCGGAGTAAAACGGAAACGGAAACGAAACCGGAAATAAACTATAAAAAAAAAAAAAATTCATCGTTATTAAATTAAATTAAATGACGATATTTTTTAAATTTGATAATATTCGCGTAAAAACACGCGCGTACCTGTTTCTTAAAAATTTTATTTTTCAAAACAGGTACAAATGTCAATCACCAGACAAAACGCTACGGCATGTAATAATAATAATAATAATGGTGATGATGATGATGATTATAAAATAAAAATGAAGTTTCAAGGTTTCGTGGTTTTAGTCAAAAAAAAAAAAAAAAGTTTTTAATGTCATTTAAATAAACAATAGAAAATTTTTTTTTATCGATGATTACGCGGCGTGAAAGAAAAAAAAAATCTTTCGCCCGAGTACGCCGCGTAATTATTTGACGTAATCGAATTTAATACAGTCGTAAAACCGGAAGTGATAAAGAAAGTCACCCGGATGAATGATGAGCCAATAATAATAATAATAATTAATTTTTTGTTGTCGATGTCGATTTCGAGTAGTTGATGTAATTATGATCGTTGATTTATAGACTATAAATTATATTTCGTCTATAGACTACATTAGACTAGACTAGACTAGACTAGACTAGACTAGATTAGATAGTCGTTGATGTTTGTTAAAAAAAATTACACAATACGTCATTACGTCGTCGTCGTCGTCGCCATCTTAAAATATTATAGACTATAATTTTTTTTTTATATACGTTTATAGTCTTTAACTATATAATATTTATTAACATTGACTGAATTAAAAAAAAAACTTGCTTTTTTTTCTACTTACTTTTCACTCCTTCCACGTCAAATGTTACGTCATTAAAAAACTCTCGTTTGGAATGATTAAAAAAAAAAAAAGAGAAGAAATTATTTCAGTAAAAATTTTAAAAGTGTTGTTTGTTTGTTTGTTTGGTTGGTTGGTTGTTTTTTTTTTACTTGTTTGTATCGTTTGTTATTTTTTTTGTTTTCGTTTTATTTGCGACGAGTGGTTAAAATCTAGTACCACGTCATTTTTTTTTTTTTTTTTGGTTAAATAATGATTTTAATCAAACTCGACGATTTTTTTTTTTTTTTTTAATTTTTTTTCGTCTGCTTTGATTTTGATTTTTTTTTTTTTTTTTTGGTAGGATTTCGCGTTTTACAGGATGCCAACATTACGAAAAATTATTTTTTTTTGTTTTTGCTCTGATTCAAATGTTGCTTCACGTGTTGCACGGTCGATAAATAGTAAAAAAATCCGTTCGATTGCGTTTGTTATGATGATGATAATAATTAGTGTATAAAATCGAATGAAATTCGAAATACGTGGAATTAGAATTAATATTATTATTATTATTAATTTTTTTTTTGTTTCATTTCGTTATTAAACTTGAAATTGTTACGTAATAATAAAAAAAAATCATTGGAGAATGAAACCGAAATTTATTAGTCACTCACTCACTCTACTTGATCCATTAAATCAGGTTCGATTTATTTAGGTTTAAGGGAAACGTTTGCGCGGGTTTTTGATGTTGAAATTTTTTTTTTCTTATCGAATCGTTCGAGTGTCATAGAGTAATAAAATTTGTATCACGTCATGCTTTTTCTCTCTTTCTCTCTCTTTGTTTTTCTTTATATTTTTTTTTTCTACACCTATCTCTCTCTTTATCTTTCTCTCTTTTTTTACTCTTTTCTTTTTTGTCTCTTTCTCTCTCTCATTTATTTTTTTCTTTTCTTTCTCTCTATTTTTTTCTTCACCTTTTTCTTTATTTGTTTCTCTCTCTTTCTTCTTCTTCCTCGCTCTCTTTTTTTGCTGTGGTTCCTTTCTCTCTCTCTTTCTTTTTCTTCATCTTTTTCTTCGCCTTTTTCTTCATTTGTTCCTCTCTCTCTTTATCTTTCTCATTCTCTCTTTTTTTGTCTTCATTACTTTTTCTTTCTCTTCCTATCTCTTTCTTCATTTTTTTCTCAGTCTCTTTCCTTTTCTATCTCTTTCTTTATCTTTTTTTCATTCTTTCTTTCCGCTTCTTATTCTATCTATTTGTTTTCTTCTCTCTCTCTCTTTATGACTCCTCATTGACTCGTTCAAAGAGTAAAAGAAGTTTCTTTTAATGGGAAATAAAAGAGGTAATTTAGGATCAAATAAAATTTAAAAAAAAAAAAAACGGGTCGTACAAAGTTGAGGAAGGAAAACCTTTTGGCTAATCACTCATACCTGGAAAAAAATGTCAGGGCGCTCCTTTTTTTTTTCTCGTTAGGGTCACGTCATAAAATGGTATATAAAATTAATTAAAAAGTGGCACGTGTAAAATAAAAATAAAAAAAAAAAAAATTTGCCCCCCCCAATTATTGTTTTCTTATTCGCCAACTTTTCTCTTAAAAATTACGCAAAAAAAAAAAAAAAAAATTCGCAATAAAAATAATTACAAAAAAAAAAAAAAATTTATATGTAAATATTGCGGTTTCCTATAAATAAAGTAAAAAAAAATTAAATTCGTTGAGTTTATTATTTATTGTTGTGTGAGATTAACTTGTTAAAATAACAAACGTGGTAACAGAAAAATTGTTTTTTTTTTTGTTTTTTTTTTTTTTTTCGGACGTTTTCGAGTCGAGATTTTTTATTGTTTTTTTTTTCTCCCCACGTTATCGCACGTCACGTTTCATTTTGAATAGTTTTTTTTTGTTTATAAATTTTGAATTTTGGCGGGAAAATTTTTAAAATGTTGGTAATATTGATTAGGATCACACACACCCACCCGTTCGTTTGTTTACATTTTGTTTTTGTTTTGTCGCTTTTTTTAAATCGCTAATTTAATAATAATTGAAATAGACGTGTAAATAGAAAGTGTTTATACGAACAAAAATTTATCGATAGCAAATATTAATAATAATGATAATTATTATTTAACGTAAAACGATTCGTCGCTATTAGTTAAAAAAAAAAAATTGGTCGATTTGGCATTTACCGCCATTTTGTATGATTACGTCACGGTTTTTTTTTTAAATGTTAAAAGACATAATTGCAAAAGGGGTTGTTGTTGTTGTTGTTGTTTGTTGTTTGTTGATATAAGAATGTGTATATAACTTGTCGATGTTTGCAAAATATTACAAAATTAAAAAAAAAAAAGTTTTCTTCTTCCACGTCTTACGTATATTTTAATTTATTTTATAATTATTATTATTATTAATAAATTTGTAAAACAATCTGTATAACTAAATAAAAAGCTTTATCGGTTTATTTGCGCCATTATTATTATTATCATCATCATTATATTTCATAATGGGGCGGTCGAAAATGTGAGTGAGAGAGAGAAAAGTGATGGAGGAAGAAAGAGGAAGAGAGGGAAAGAAGGGAGAGAGATAGGTAGAAATAGTGAGAGAAGGGATAGGTGATGGGAGAGAAAGAACAAAAGATGGGAGAGAGAGAGAGAGAGAAAGAAGGGGGAAAGATAGAAAGAGAGAGAGGGAATGAAAGAGAGAGAGTGTTGTTAGTAAATGTTGAGACGTTCGGATTTAGGTAATCATAACCAGGACGTTGTCAGGTCGTAGAAAAAGATAACCTTGAACCCGACCTTCTTAGAATGAATTTAAATTATTTGTGTGTCTTTTTATTATTGGTAGCAAAAAAAACTATTTGCTTAAATTCAGTTCAGTGCGAGAGTTGTGAAATAAATTTTTTTAATGATGGCGATGACGAAAGGAAAATAAGTGGGGAGGAAGGAAGAAAGAAAGAAAGAAAAAATAATTTTTTTTTCCTCATCTTATTATTATTATTTATTATCTCCTACTCAAACCACTAAACTGTAATTTTAGTTTAATTTTATTTGCTGTTATTCAAAGAATCTCGACACACGAATAACTCCTCAAATTATTATTTGAATTTATTTTATCATCATTATTATCATTAATTTTTTTTTTTTTTTTCGAAGTGACGCGAGTGTTGTAAAATTTTTTTAAAAATGAAAAATGTTTTGATTATTGTCTTATCAATTATCCTGACTTTTGCTACGGACAAATGTTCAGCGATTTTAAAGGAAAAACGTAAGTTTTACGTCTTCAATTTTTTTTTTTTTTTACTACCTTCCGCGTACTTTAACCCATATAAAAATTATTATTATTATTATTATTATTATTATTATTATTATTATTATTACTTTTTTTTTACATTTAAAATTTATGCGACGTCACTAACTCCGACGTAAACTTGTCGAAATTTTTTTTTTTTTTCCTCTAATGATAATAATAACACACGCGCTCTCGTTTTTAATTTTCCTAGAATTTATTAATAATAATAATAATTATTATTATTATTATTTTTTTATTGTGGGGGCGGGAAGGTAATTTTTAATAGGGTAACTGTTATTAATAATTTAAAACGTTATTATTAATATTATTATTATTATTTGTTAAATTAAAATTGTTTTCATCCGGTTGATTTTCGAGGTTTTTTCTTTTTCCCTTTTATTATTATCATCATCATTATCATTATTATTAAGATTATTATTATTATTATTAATTTTTCCGATTCGTTCTCGAGTCGATTTTAAAAAATTTTTTTGCCTGGATACGCGTCTGAAAAATGATGAAGAAGAACTTTTCATTCGCTTATTAATTTTTTTTTTCCAAACGATAAATGTATCGTTAATTATTATCATTATTATTATTATCATTATTAATATTATTAGTATTATTATTATATAAGAAATGTACGTTTAAAAATAAGTATTAAAAAAAAAAAAATTTTTCGAGAGGGGATAAAAAGCTAAATGAAAAAATTATCGCAACACTTATATTTCAAGTTATTCTAGTGACACGACTTATAAACGGTTATTATTATTATTATATATAAAAACTCGAATAACCGTGTCACAATCGAACCGACAAAAAAAAAAGTTGCAACCTGACCAACCTTAATGTTGTTTTCGGTTTATCGAAAAAAAAAAAAATTTCGATTTGTTCATCGTTAAAAAAAAAAAAAAATGGCGACGATGTCAAGGCGGAGCAGGTAAGAATGGAGGAAGGGGAGGGGAGGAGGGAAAAAGCGACAACGACAAACAACCCTCGCGGCAAATTATACTATTTAAAAAAATTTTCCATTCTCTTTAACCACGTTTCATTCAAACAAAGATTAAATAATTTTTTTTTTTTTTTTTTTTAGCGAACGAGGACGTGGAAGCAGATAAAAAATACTAATTTATAATTTTTTTTCTTTTTTTTTTGCAGCGAGCTTCATAGAAACATGTTTCATGAGCGAACCTGATTTTCCAACTTGTAACGCACATTCCGTACAAGAAATATTTGCAAATTTAAAAGATGGACTACCGGAAATCGGTTTGCCGCCAATCGATCCGTTAAACGTAACGGAAATCAGTCTTTTGCAAGGTTCCGGCCCTGTTTCGATCAACGCCACGCTCATGAACGTTCGAATATTTGGTTTTTCCAAAGCTATCGTCAAATCAAACAAGTGAGTGCAAAAAAAAAAAAAAAATTTTTTATCGATTTCCCGACAGCAAAACAAACAAAAAACAAAATGGCGTCCGGTTGGAATTAATTTGTTTAAAAAAAATTTTGAGTTTCCGGTCACGATTAGTACCAAATTTACAAATTATAAGACCCATTGCGTAATGGTAAATAATAATAATAATTAGGGTAGCGTAACGCATGGAAAATGACGTAACGAATGGGGCAGGTCACACGCGTGTGTCACCACCGCGCAGTCTTATCAGGTTCTTATCAGGTTATTATAACATTTCAGAGTTTATCCGCAAAAGGGTTACAGTTTCGTGACGAAATTAAGATTGCCGAACATGAGAATCGAAGGAAATTACAACGTACAGGGAAGAATTCTTTTACTTCCGTTGGTCGGAAAAGGTTCTTGTTGGTTCGAACCGAGTAAGTCCACATTCCTTCATTTCCCCCCTCCTTCGATCGTGTCAACAGAAATTAAATATTTATTTGTTTAACCTTTTTAGAAAATATGGACGTGGAAGTAAGTCACGACATACACATCGTACAAAAAGAAGGTTTTAATTTGTTCAACATAACCGGAGTCCGCGTTAAATTCGAAATGGAAGGTTTAAAAATGAGATTGAATAATTTATTTAACGGTGTCAAACAATTGGGTGAGTTTTTGATATACACCGGAAGTAAACAAAATGCAGGGTTGCCAACAAAATTTTCTTTCATTTTCCAGAGGAAAGTACGAACGCGTATTTGAACGCAAATTGGAAAGCTGCTAGCGAATCTCTCAAACCCATTTTAAGAAAAACGATTGCGGACATTTTGATCGTAATACTTAAAAAATTATTCGATAACGTTCCAGCAAATTATTTCATCGGTGACGTCACATATCAAGGACCGTAAAACGTTTTTTTTTTCGCACAACTACTTCCGGTACCAAAAACAAAATATTATTATTTTTTTTTCTATTCATTTTTCATACCATGATGATCATTTTGAAAAAAAAACATAATCATAAAAAATGGAGGATTTTTATCGGTTACGCGCGCGATTTTTTTTTTGATTTTGTAGCAGGTAAAAAACGCGTTTTTTTTTGTTCAAAAAAAAAAATTTTCCAGTATTATTATTATTATTATTATTATTATTATTATTATTATTATTAATTTAAATAAAAATTCAATTAAATATTATAATTAACCGACCGATTCCCTATTTTTTTTTTTTTTCGTATCCAGTTTTTGTTGTTTGTTTGTTTGTTGAAATTTGTACCGATTTTTTTTTTCTTTTATAACCACAACAACGACGACAACGACGACGAAATTCTCTATCTAAAGTTCACGAAAGGTTAAAGGTCGAATTTTTTAAAAAAAATTACGTAAAAAAAAAAAATTACGTAAAAAAAAAAAATTACGCGGCGTAATTACTGATGCAATCGTTGGTGCCACTTTTTTTTTTTGCTACGGTTAATATCGAAAAAAAAAATTTTTTTTTTTTTGTAAAGTTTACGAAAATTTTACCCGATATGAAATCTTCCATCATCATTATTATCATTATTACATAAAAATAAAATTATTATTATTATTATCATCGAGGCACGCGTTTCGCGAAGGAAAAAAAACGCGCGAAATTTTCAAATCGTCGGGAACAACAAAAAAAAAAAATGAAAAAAAAATAAAAGAAAAAATTTACGTTTATTTATATAAAATAATTAACATAAATAAATAATAATGATGATGATGAATATGACGATGATGATGATGATGATAAAAATAATAATAATAGGAAAATCATGGCGGAAGTATCATGTCGAGTGGATATTTGTGATAAATATTATTCGAAAATGTTTTAAACATGTCGGATATGCGATCTTCCAAAACGGGTTTGATTTCGTCAACTATTGATTCCCAATTTTGATTTAAAAACGAATTCATTGCATCCCCTATCGTGAGAAAAAGAGGATTAAAAATATCGATTCGATATATCGATAAATCGAATTAAATAATAATAATGATAATGATTTACCCAATTCTTTATCGCCGTTAAATAAATCGTCCAATCTTATTGATGCGTGTCCTATATTAAAATGAACGAAAAAATCTTTGACGTTGAAATACGTTTGTCCTTTTTTTTCAAAACGTTCGCCTTCCATGAGAACGTTCGCTTCGATATCGGCTAAAATTTAAGACGATATAATTAGTGATTTATAAATGGGGGGCTGGGGAGGTAGGGGGGGCAAACAACTCACTGTAATTTCCTTCGCTCATTCCTTTTCCGGTTATCGGCATCATTAATATTTTACCATCCAAATCGTAATCGCTTATCATGTGTAAAAACGGAAGCCATAATTTTAATCTAACTCTATCCTTAGCTGGTTCGACTCTTTTTTTTTTCCGACCGGAAACACAAACGAAACAAATTAATCTTTTGGAATTTTCCAGAAAAAAAAATTTATCATCAACTTACTTTATGCTTTTTATAACGAATTGACTCGCACCCGTGACGTGTATGTTCGTGTATGTAGATTGTACGGTTACAGGTCCTTTTCCTTGATTAATAACTATTTCCGGTACGATCAAAGGTTCGCAAGGTGGTATACCAAATTCGGGGATTCCTGTAATAATAATAATAATAATGAGAATTTAAAAAACAAATTTTTTTTATTATCGTAAATTCATTATTATTAATATCGTTATTTACCCGTGACCAAATGGGGCCTCAATTTTTCAACGGAATCCTTAACGCAACCGTTTAAATTCGGATCGCTTTGACTGCATATTTTTAAAAATGTTGCTGTAAATAAATAAATAAATTTTTTGCTGTCGTTAAATTAAAACAAAAAAGACAAACGGGCGCAACGGGGGGAAGTTGATGAAAAAATAGAAAATATAAAAAAGAAAAACTTACGAATTTTTTTAATTTTATTATCTTCCGTTTTTCCCACGGCAATATTACAATTGCATAAAATTAATGAAACGATAATAATAATAATAAAACGCGTTTCAAACCGAAACATTTTTTTTTTTTTTTTTTTTGCTCGGAACAATAGACTGGACGAAAATGATACGAATCGTTAAATGAATTCAATAATTTGCTGATGATGTTATTAATTAATTAATAATTAATTAATTAAATAAAAAATTAGGTGAATGCATATATGCATTAAATCAATGGAAAATGGTCATAACTTACATTTGATTACGTCATGAAAAAAGGATTTCATTTTGGGGGAAAAAAAATTACACGTCTACCACCCCCTAAGCTTGTTTTTTTCCCTCCCCCCAGCCCGGAAGTCCGTTGAAATGACGTCAACGGTAATTTTTTCGGTATTATTATTAAATAATAATGATAATGATAATTTCGAACTTTGATTTTTCGTGACGTCATTAACAATTAAATATTTGTTTTGGTAACGATTTTTCTCACGACGCCATTTTTTTTTTTTTTTTGTTTGTATTCAGTCCTTGAGCTTTTGGACTACGAAGAACCTACGAACCGTTTGTCGTTTTAAAAAATTTGCGAAGGGGAGGGAGGGAGGGAGGATGCGTGGAGGAGGAGGAAGTTTAAACAACGAGGTACATTCAATTTCATTTGTGCCCTTTTTAAATTTATTTAACTGCGAAACTTTTTGAACGATCATCAAAAACCTAATTTAATTTATTTTTCTAGGTTAACAAATAAAAAAAAATTTACAAAGCAAGCAAATTGAAAAAATTTGTTTGTAAACAAATAAATCGAAACGAAGACGAGGAAAGCCTAGAAATCGTTCTCGAATCGAACCTTTCGATATAATCGAAAATTTCAACAAGAAAAAAATTTTGAAGAAAGGGAGAAAAACTACGTAAGAGAGAGTTCGTAGTAAAGAAAATTTTTTTTAAAATTTTCCCGAGCTCGTACAGGAAACGGAAATGAGATAAAACGGAAATGCGTATAAGAAACAAAAAACCAAGGTAAAAAAAAATATATTAATAATAATTTATTTATTTAGGAAATAATTTATCATAGGGTATTGTTTTAAATAATTTATTTATCAAATCATCGATGAGCATTCCGATGACGGATTCAATGGCGGGTTTTATCTCGTTTACGATATCTTTCGAGTTATCGTTAAGAAAATCGTTTGTCGTTTGACTTAAAACCGCGTTTCCGTTGAATAAATTCGCGAAATGTACTTTTGCATCTTTTATATCGAGTTTGAGCGTCGAATCTTTCACTTGAAGATGTTCCATATCTTTCTTTTTCGTTATTATCGCCATGTTGGCAAAATTTGCCGTCGTATCAGCTGCGCAATAAACAATCATCATCATTATTATTTCGCACAATAAGCAAAAATTATTAATAATAATCACGTGACATTTGACTTACTTATATTGGCTGTAAATTCTCCATTTCCTCTTATCGGAAGTAACAAAACGTTACCCTCTATAACGTAATCGGATATTAATTTGAGCTTTTCGAAATTGACTTTTCCATCGAAATTAACGCCGTTGTTCGTAAACGTTCCCCTGCGAGGGAAAAACAAAAATTAACGATGATAATAATGACGATGATAATGATAATAATAAATATTTACCTGAAATCGGAAAATACGTAATCGCTTAAACCGAATATTTTAAGGTTGTTTAATGTCGCTTTAAAACTCACGGAACCGGTACCCTGTTCGATTTTAATCATGGGTATAGTCAACGGTTCGAACGATGGAATGTTAAGTTCTTTGATTCCTAGACAAACAAACAAACAAACAAACAAAAAATTAAAAAAATCGATCGAATGAAAAAATGGAAAAATAATCGTTTGTTTGTTTACCTTTCGACATGTAGGGTTGTAAAACGGCCGTTGCTTTTTTTAAACAATCGTTAACGGTGGGTGAATTTCTCTGGCATGCCTTTATATAACTCGCTGTAAATAAAAAGAAAAATGGGGGGAGGGGGTGATAAGGTTTATCACGGTTTAAAAATAATAATAATAATAATGAGGATGAAAAAACTCACGTAAATCTTTTGCTTGTACTGTTAAAAAAATAAAAAAAAAAAATAAATTAAAAAAAATTTTATTCATTTTGAACGTTGTTGTTGTTGTCGTAAAATAATAATGATAATAATACGATAGATAGAACAAACGGCGACGACTCACGCAAACGCGTTCACACAAAAACAAACACGCGCGAAAAAAAAAAAAAAAATTAAAGCTTTCTTGAATAATATCAGAGACAAAACTGCATTTTAAAATTTATATAATAACTATTTATATATAAACTGACCTTCCAGTTTCAAGTTTCCTGGAATAAAAAAAAAAAAAAAAAAAAAAAAAAAAAAAAAGTCCTTCAAAGTTTTTTGTAAGGAAATAAATAAAAAAAAAAAAAACTCGTGAAAAAAAAAAAAAAAAAGAATCACAACAAACGTATGGTAAGGGCTACAACAACAACAACAACTCGACCCTCGTCGTATAAAGATGGCCGTCAAATGATTTATTAAAATTATTATTATTATTATTATTGCGACTGGGGTTAAACCTTTTTAATTAAAAAAAATGGCGGAAAGGAAAAAATTTAAAAAAAAAAAAATTTCGTATTCGTGAGATTTTAAACGGGGGGCGGAGCGGATGCGGGAAACAAAATGGCGACGTTTAAATTTAAGAACGTGTTTGTGAGTGTGTGTGTGAACGTGGCAGGAGTCACAAAACAAACAAACAAAAAATCGTTATTATTTATTCATGAATGAATAATTAATAATTAATAAATAAATAAATCGATCGATCGATATTAAATTTTTTTTTTTTTTTCGTCGAAACTTCCGCGTTTTGTTTAATTAATTTATTTTTTTATTGATGATAATAATAATGATAATGATAATGATGATAATGATACGTAAATAAATAATTTATTTAATTAATTAATTAATACTCCGATCGTTGGTCAAATTTTTTTTTTTTTAATTTTAATTTCCACGATTCAAAATGTCATCCAGGTCCGTTCGAATTTTTTTTAATTTTTATTTTTAATTTAAGGACGTCGGATTAAGGTCATTTTTTTTTTTTAATTAAAATTTAATTTTAATAAAATGTATTTATTTATTTATTTATTTATTATGAAAAGTTTGTACGTAACAAACAAACAAACAAACGCGACAACCTTTAAACAAACGGGAACCGAAAATTTTTTCTTAATTTTTTTTCCGTAATTTGTTTTTTTTTGTATTGATGTTTGCATAACTTGAAAATTTTAAGGGGTTTTAATTGATTTCCTCCCCCCTCCCTTAAATAAAAAGAAATTATCCGCGTCTTCTGCTTTTTTAAATAAATAAATAATTTTATTTTTAACAACAATAAAGGAAAAAGGAATATTACGGGAAAATTTAAATATCATCGTTATTATTATTATTTATTAAATAAAATAAGTAAATGAACGTTTTCGTCACGTGTTTTTTTTAACGGATTTTATTTAGTTTTATTTATATCGATTTATCGAATTAATCGAACGAATCGATCGATCGATCGATCGATTTATTATTATGATTAATATACGAAATATCCTTAATTGAATTATAAGGAAAGAAAGAAAAGAAAAAAAATTAATTTTTGATGAGTTTTTGCCGTGAGTGAGCCACCAACTAGTTGACCTTCCGATTCCCTTAAGATTATTGAACTTCATTACGATCAAGTTCAAAAAACTTTTTTTCGAATCTTAAAATTATTACGTAATACGCGGGAGACTGCGTAATAAATAATCTTTTTTTCTATAAGTTTTTTTTTTCTCGTTAATTTAAAACGCATTTCGATTTTGCCTTCTCCTTTTATAAATTTAAATATTTTGACCATATATGTACGTGAATTTTTATTTATTTATTTACTTTGAATCACTTTCTGTAAAAATCCGCGCGATTTCATCTCTCTCTCTCTCTCTCTCTCTCTCTCTCTCTCTCTCTCTCTCTCTTATGACTCATTTTATTTTTAAAAAAATTGATGACATCAATACAAACATAATATATTTAAATTCGTCAATGTGTACTCAATAACGAATTAATCATTATTATTATAATCATTATTATTATTATTATTACTTAAGAAAACATTTTTTTTTTTTTTTTAATAATTTTGAGTTTTTTTTTTTTTACTTATGCAATTTACGATTTTTTTATGTATGTCAAAATGCATTCTCAGTATTTTTCGGGGGCGTTGAAAGTTAAAAAAAAAATCAAAACAGCGACGATTTGGGTAAAACAGTTTTTTTATTGTTATTATTCGAATGATGACGTCGTAACATTAACAAAACGAGTTTAAAATATAAATTAATGACGTCATAAAAAAATAAAATTAAATACGTGTACGCATATGAAAAAATTCATCGAACGGATTCGTTATTTAATGAATTTTTTTTTATTTATTTGGTGGGGGACGTTTAAAAAAGGTTAAAAACGATTAAAATGATTTGAATGAATAGTGATAATAATATTAATAATAATAATAATAATAATAATAAAGGAAATCGAACGGTTACACACGAAACAATAATAAATTTTTAAAGTGAAAAAAAAAAAATACAAATACGAATGCTCTGACTCATTTCCTTTCAAAGATAATATTATTATTATTATTATTTCGTTTTGCTATTTTTCAATCAGACAATGAAAAAAAAAATTCACGAATGAAATTTATAATGATAATAATATTCGCGATGGAAACGAACGGTTCGAACGGTAGAAACGTTCGATTTAAAAAAAAAATATTTTTTTCATCTTTCTCGAACGTAAAAAATTAATTAAAATTTATATCGGTCAACTTTTTTTGATGGTGTAACGCGCACGCCCCTCCCCTCCCCTCCTCCCTCATTCTCGAAAGGGCCACGGACGATTAAAAAATTTTTTTATTGAAGGCCATCTTGTTTTCCTTGAATATCAATAATAATTAAAACGTTTATTTTATTGTTTTCGTCATCATCATCATTTTCATCATCATCATTATTATCATCATCATTATCATCATCATCATTATCGTCATCATCATCATCATTAATATTTTAATGTAGTCCAGTTTTGGAATTTTTGTTACTTAAAAACTTTTTGGATGAGTACCAATTACAATTATTTATCAATACTCGATATTTGTGACGTCAGTCCTTGACCGGTGAAATTGGCCCACGATATTGTAAAATCGTTTTATCAAATGACAACAAACGTTCCAGCTTTTTAATCCCTTTTAATCCCTTTTTAATCTTTGTCATTATCCGTATGATGATTTCAAGGTCACTCTCGTTCACGTATTTCATACAGTAAAGAAAATTTTTAAAAAATTTTTTTCCCGCATTTTCCGACGGCGCGATATCGATTTATCGATTGGATTCGATATATTAATTCCTCCATGTTTTTCATGTAAATTAGTAGCGAATCCAGGAGAAAAAAAATAATTCGAAAACCCTTTGGAAAAATATTAACAGAGTAATTATTAATTATATATTCATTAATTTCTTTTTTTTATTGATTTCTCATCGAGTTTCGATATAATAATCGATCGATCTATCGATCTATAAATAAATAAATTTTCTATTTTTATACATAGTAATAATAATAATAATAATAATAATAATAATAATAATAATAATAAGAATAATAATAAATTTTTTACAAACGCGTTTAAAATTAAAAAAAAAAAAAAAAGTGATGGATACGAATTTAAAATTTTTGTTGTTTGTTTGTTTGTTTTACTTTCACTACTACTAAATCTTATTTAATTAAAATTAATAAAAGAAGAAGAAAGTATTTTATTAATGTCGAATAAAATAATAATAATAATGATAATAATGATGATAACAACAACAAATCCATTAATAATTTACATTTAAAAAATTTATAATAATTTTTTTCCTTTTTTTTTTTTTTTTTTTAAAAAAATTCGAGTCAGATTTTTTTCGATTTCACAATTTTATTATAAAAAAATTAAAATTTTAGCACGTACGCACGCACGTGCACGCACACGCACACGCATACACTCACACGCGTACGACCCATTCATCCATAAAAGAAAAAAAAAGATCGTAAACAATACATGTTAGAAATTGGGAAATTTTAAATAAGCCAAATAATTAATAATTTCGATACGATTATTAATAATAATAATAATAATAATTGGGTCGGAGGAAATAATAATAATAAAGCGTTTGTTTCTTGTGTTGGTTCCAAAAAAAGTTTGTTTTGATATTCGTGATAATATTTTTATAACAATTATTATTATTATTATTATTACGATAACAACAGAAAGGATCAATAAATTATTATTTAAAACGATCAAAAATTAATTTTATTATTATTATTAATAAAAAAAATCAAACCGTTTGTTTATAAATAAAAATTTCACTCCTTGTTAAAAAGAACGTGATTTGTTATGTCATACGAAAACCGAACAACCGAACAACAAGTGGACAAACAACAACAACAACAACAAACTCAGTTCAATGACATACGAAATTAAAAAGTTTTAAAAAAAAAAAAAAATTCACCATTTCTAGACTTGTTGTCGTGCACGTAACCACTTTATTCATTCATTCATTCAAAAAAAAAATAATTCTCCAGGTCGATTAGAATGTTACGAGCATTTCCAGTCTGGAAAATGCACGTACGCACGTACGCACGCACGCACGCACGCACGCACGCACGCACGCGTAATCCTCGTGGAAAATGAAAAAAAAATTTTCTCTTGACCGTGACATCTTTTTTTTCTTATCGTGATAACGTTGATAACAGAAAAATAATTTCGAAATAAAGATTTTCCCACGTTGCACGTGTATTTATTTTTAAACGTTCGAATATATATATCACGCGCACTCACGCACCTTTTTTTTTAAACATTTTCCAGAATTTTCTAGAGAAAATTTTAAAAGAAAATAATTATTACGTATACGTATGTAATTAATAAAACGCGTACGTACTTTCACTCGAGTTACTTATGTCATCGATTAATTATTATTATTATTTTTTTCACTTTTTTCCCTCTCCCCCCCAGCCTCCCCTTTTAAATTACCTTCCCGGTAAACGAGTAATAATTTTTTTTTTCTCGACTTCCGTTAA